TTTGATTGTTAGGATTTTTTACCAAAACGATTCATTCTCTACGATGGAACCTTTGGTATTCTTTTGAATCCTGTGAGTTCATGGTTAGAAATAAGCGAGACAGCGCCGAAAAAGGCCAAAAACTGGTTGAAAAAATTCAGTTTTCGTTGATGGAAACTGTAATGAGCAATTGATTTATCTGTTTTTGAAAAAGTGATGTCATGAAAAAGACGTGTTTTTTTCCTGTGTTTCAAATTTATGATTATAATAAACTTTTATTAGAGTCAACCGTTACACGAAATTTCAATTAACGAGAAACCTGATTTTCTCAAAAGGAAATGCTCAGTTTAAAAAATCCTCAAATATCTTCATTTCAAGGACTACAGAAAACACAATTTTCCGAGCGATTCCGACGACTACGAAAACATTCGGAAGAATTTCGCGAAGTTCTTACCATCGTCAATGGTTGTCACTTTCCTCAACGTCCATATTCCAGTTCCTTTCGATGTTCGTCCAGCCACAGAAATTGTATAAGGCCAGTATTCGTGAAGTGAGGTTATAGTATAATTTGTGGCGCTAAGCCCAAGATTTTTGACACCCTTTGATTTGTAAGTGTGACCATGGCCAAAACGTTCGTCATTCCAATGGACTGTGTAACCGATCAAAATGCCATTGACTTTATTTTCTGGAATTGTGTGGTTCCACTGCACATAGATTGAAGTGGGGCTGGTGCTTCGGCTGGCAACAATTTCTGGACCAATGCTAGGAGCTACGCGTCATGAAAATGGGAAGATTTGGTCAAGGATAATGCTGAAGTAAAATCAACTGAATCACTGTGTTCATAAGTCTTGCAAAGGGGACAGTCAACACCCGATACACGCAACCTTACACTTTACTTGTCTTCAACAAAATGAAGCCCAGATATCTCAAAGCAAAAAATCCTGGTTTAACCACTTCATTCCTATCAACCCTTGCTGCAGTTTCGAAGCTCATAGATGTCGTTACACTATATATGTTCCCACGATATTTGCTTTGTAAAGAAGAAGTACGATTCAGAAATCGTAAAATTCGAGATGAAAAAGTGAACAAGAAAAATAAAAAGGAACGCGTTTTGAGACTCAAAAGAGTAACGTAACCTTTCGAAAACTATACTCAGTTGTGTGAGAAAATCCGACTTTGAACGCCGCTATATTGAATCTTGCTCAGCAACCTGGTCGCTTACCTGTGATACTTCTGTCTCATTTCTCTCTTTTCCATTGTTTTGAGCTTGTTTAAATGAATACAAACTGCGCAAAATGAGTATTCTAGACTGAAATAGTGATGTGCTTTATGATACCTTGAGCAACAGCTGTGTGTGAACGAATTCTTGAACGTTAGATTTTTTTGGCCCTGACTTTGAGTTAAATTCAAATATGGCGGCATGTATAGCCAAAGTTTTAGTACATTCGATGATGATTTCCTAACAGTCAGGTTACGCTTTAGAATCTCCAAACACGATGATGAGCTTATTTTCATATTTCCTTTCTAATGGCTGGATGAAGATTATATATTTTCTGGAGCAAAATTTTCCCTAAGAGGTGATTGTCTACTTGTTCCACAAAACACTAGCAAGTTGTCCTTGGAAATTTTTGTTTGTCTATTAAGTATATCGCTAACAACTCTTTCGAACTCTTGCCCAACAAGTGCTTCGTTGAAAGAAAAGTTCACAATGGAAATGCAGTTCAGTATATTGGACAAAAACTCAAATTTCATAGTTTCCGTGCTCTAAATATTTTTATCATAAGCCACCTACTTGACTCATCTGTCCTCAATTCAATAGCTTCCGAGATGAGGCCAGCAGACTTGAACGATGCCGCAAAGACACGAAAGCTGTATTTCGTATAGCTTTTAAGTGAAGAAATTGTGTGCTTAACGGGCTTTGGTGGCAAATAGCGGCGAATATTCTCTTTAATGGCCCAGTTTGAGTTGGGATCATCCAGATTTTTATACAGGACTCTGTATCCGAAGAAATAGTTTTCGTGCAGGTCAAGGAAAACTTGGTCCAATACTATTTCTGCTGCAAATGCACGGACCCTTACCAGGATAAAGTTTGCAGGTGTCTCACAGAAAACTGGAAAATTCAGAGAATAGGCTGGATTTAGTCTTATTGTTATCTTTTTTCACATATGATTGATTGAGTCTAGAAAACAGAAAACATCTTGGATTTATCACATTGTTAAATGTAGTTAAGCACCGTCTTTAATGAATCGTTAAAACAGTTCCACTTAAAAAA